AAAATAACTTATTTTTTCTAATTTTAAAAAAGTTAAATGAAATTAAATTTTAACAAATAAAGAAGTATAAATTAATTTTAACTTATAAAAAATATTTTATTATATATATATATATATATAATAACGAATCCACGAGTTCATCTAAATAAGAGAAAAATCTTTTGAACTTTAATTAACAAAAATATTAACTTTAGACTTTAATGATATCCATTTGTTTAAGATTCAGATTCGCTCAAGTTTATACAAAATTTTAAGTTTAATTTACTTTTTACTTAAGTAAATTTTAAATTTCTAACTTAAGTAAAAGATAGTTTAACTTAAGTAAATTTGTAAGTGATTAAACTATGGTACAAGAGAAATTAGCTTAAAATTACTGCTTAAGTAACTATTAACTATTTGAGAAAAATTCGATGGAAAGCATTGAATGAGGACATTATTTTTTAATTAAGAAAAAATTAGTTAACTTAAGTGAAATTTAAATTCCTTAAACAAGAATAGAAATCACACATCTCAAATATTTAAACTTGTTTAAGTAAATATAGACAGAAAAAAATGTAATCAAGACAAATATTTTCACTTAAGTAAATAGAACTAAATAGTTTAAGAAAAAAACTGCACTTAAGCAAATTCAAATTTAATTAAACAAAAAAAACTGAACATTCAGTTTCTGGAAAAACGGAAAAGGATTCATATCCATTTGTTTAGTCGACATTTTGCCTTGACAACCACAGTTCCTTTAGGTGGACAAATATTATTTTGATTTTTTTTCTTCAAATCCTAAAGATAAATTTAAGCATAGAAAAATAATAAAATTGTATAATTAATAATTAGTTCAAATTAATGTTTAAAAATAAAATAAATAAAATTTATTTAAATTGTGAGAAATTCATGCAACACTAATAAATTATTTTAATAATTTATAAGAATTGGATAAAATTTATTTTTATTGTTTAATTATAAATTTATTTCTTATAAATATATATTTTTAATGTAATTTCTATATTTAAAAAATTACAATTTAATCTTTACATAAGTAAATATTTTAAAATTAATTTTTATCGTTTAAAATATGTCAACAATGTTGGATAAAAGAGATGAAAACATAAAAAAAATCTCTCATATAAGCAGTAAAACATAATTTTTAATTTAAATACTAATTTATAATAAGTGTTAATTATAAAGATTAAATATATATTTTAACAATAAATAAATAATTTGAACTTGTTTAAAAACATAAACGAGGTACTAAATAAAAAATTTTAAAAAATTTAAAACTTAAATATGGTATGATTGCACATCTCAAATACTATAAATTTTTTTATAAAAAATATTTTTAAATATTCAGTAGAAATTTACATATAATAAAAATTATAATATGTTGATATTTTATTTATTTATTTATTTAAAGATAAAATAATAAATAAAAAATATTATTTTAAAATTTTTTAATATTTTTCTTATATTCAAATAAATAAATAAAGAATAAAAGTTTTTCTCTTTAAAACAAACAAGATTTACTATTTTAGAATATAAAACAATATTAGATAAAATTTTACTTTCTTAAAATTTTATAATTTTTTATTCAATATCTCATTTGTTTCTAAATTAATTTATAATTTTTAAAATTTTTAGTTAAAGTACACATTTAATTTTTATATCTAATTATTGTTTGCAAATTAATTTTTATAATTAAAATTTATGTTTTAATTATTTATACTTGAACCGTTGTTAATATAAATTTATTAATAAATATATATATAATTATTTATTTGTATAAAATTAAATTATAAGTTCTTATATAAAATTAAATTTTAAAATACATTAAATACGAGAAGTAAACATGTAAATTGCTTTTTATTTTTATTTCTCAAAAAGAATTTGAATCCTCCTATTATCAACTAACATGATTGAGGATGTTAATGGAGGCAGGATAGGGTGTAATTTACATTTATACACTCATACGTATAATAATTAAAATTATAAGGTATTATTGCACTCATGAATATGTGTATATATATATATATATATATATATATATATATATATATATATATATATCACATCATATTAATATACTATAATATATATTAACATTATATACTTTTTTCTACATAACATTTATATGTAATTTTAGTTTTGTTAAGCTTTATTTGTAAATTTAGTTTAGAAGAAAAAGAAAGAAAAAAAGATCTCTTAAACTTTTTTATTATTTAAATTTTTTTAAAATTAATAAAAGAAAGGTATTGGAAGTTCTTAAATGCTGTCCAAATTTTTCATCTTTTGTATTATTTAAATTCTCAAATTTGAATGTTATTTTTTAAACAAAATCTAACTAATTTTCAAATTCTTTCATTTCATTTTTATCAAATTTAAAAACAAAACTTTAATTTTAATATCTTAAAAAAATTAAAGTATTTAAAAGTAATAATATTTGATTAAAAATTATTTATTACATTAAAAATCAAACTATAACAATTTTTTTAAATCTTGTTTTTTTCTAACTTGTCATATGTTAAGAAATTATGAAATAATGTTTTTTATTAAAATTATAATATTTAAATTTTATAATATATTAAAAGATGTGATATTTTATTTTTTAATAAAATTTGATTATACATAAAATTTATTATATATTTAGATATCTATTAAATAATATTTTATTTGTCTTCATATTTGGATTTAGTGTAGAACCACTATCAATCATAATATTTATTGGGTGGTGGAAAATCACTAAATCTTAAATTTAAAAAGTGATAATCTTTTCTTCTCGAAACGTGATTTTAAAAAGTGATATTCGATCGGCGGTAATGGATTATGTTTGTGTGAAAGTACGAACAAATGCTATTGGTGGCGTGCAGCAAACTACAATTATGAGTTCACAAAGCTTAAATAAATCGTTATTATATCAAATCATTGTGTCTGTTATGCTTTAATTAAGATTTAAGATTTAGTGCCATTTCTATTAAATATATTTTTTAGATTCTTTTAATGTACTTTTTTAGATAAAGGGAAAAAAAGAGACAAGAACAGAAATAGAAATATTGTTGCACCACTCTTTGGCCACGGGAACAAAAAAGAAGGCTATTAATCAATTCTAAATCAAAGCACTCTTTTTAAAGAGTGAATTAATTTTTATTTTTAAAATCACATATTATTCTTAATTTTTAAATTAAAATATTTTTAAATAAATTATGTATATATTTCTTATGATTTTATTTTATTTTAACTTATATTTTCAAATTTCATTTAAGATAATTATGCACATTATATGGGTTTAACATTTTTAAACTTTTTTTTTTTAATTTTTATTTTAACAGTACTTATATTACGCTGAAATGCTTACTAATTATAAATAAATCTAAAGCAATGAAATTTAATCCCCTAAAAGTATAAATTCGAAATCGAGAAAATTGAAGTTCCATTGGAAATTTGTTATACATTTTAAGAAAATTAATATTTCATTTGGAATATATATATATATATATATATATATATATATAATGCAGATGTTCAATCTTGTAAATATTTGTAGAAGAGAAAAATAATGGAATAAAATAAATAAAATTCTTCTCATTAATTTAAATTAATTTATGCTCTTTCATTTTAAAATTTTTTTAATTAACTTCTCTAAAATATAAAGTGTATATTTAATTTAAAATATAAGAATAATTTATTTATTTTATCTTCTTTTTTTTTTTCTATTATAAGCACTATGATTCATAATATAAAGTGTATATTTTTTTACAGTATCACCTAATTATGGATTATAAAATAATTAAGAATAATTGAAAAATACATTAAAATTAAACTATGATTCATAATTGAACATATTGATCAATTAACAAGAAGTTGTTGCAGGACAAAATAATGTGACTTGATGATGAAAATACGAGTCGTTCATGATTTCAACGTCAATGTTTGAATGGTGCAGGTTGCATTTCTAGTGACAAGTCACATTCTTTGTCCAAAGACATTGGTGATAAACCTTTTTCATTTAGTTTTTGGTAGAACTTAAGCAGGGCAACTTAGACACATGGAGAAGGAAAACTATTATCGTATAAAAGCTTTTAAAGAAGGGGTAAAGGCACCATGAAAGAAAAGGGTTAAAGGCGTGTTGGTTGAAGGCATCCTTTGTTTGTTGAGGTTCGATTTCCCCTCCTACGATAATTATGATGTCCCAAACAGCATGCTATATCGTTCATTTTTATCGTTATGCCAATCCATATTGTGCCTCAATTTTTAACTGGTCCCGGTAGCATAAAAAACCTGTCAGCTAGCAAAAATTATTGCAAAATATTGGACAGAGAACAAGATGTGAATGGTTGAGACCACATGGTCTCAGACCACCTAAAAATTTCTTGTCAGTTGGCATAACGCCTCCTCTAATTTAGCAATTGGTAAAGTTTAATCTAACAGCAATAACACGAAGTTTTTATAAGAAAAAAAATCTGATTTTTTTGGCCCCAACCTTTGTTCTAATTGGAATATTTGTCGAAGCTTTGGTTTGTTGATTAACACTCGGTACATAGATATTTATTGCACGATATCAAAATGCTGCCAAGAGTCAGAAACTCAATCCTCAGCGTGATAGTTTCTGTTTGAGCTCGGATCGATTATAGTTTATACCGTGATCTTTTTCGAGTCAAAGCTGAAGAAACATGACAACACTCTCCATCTTCAACAAGAATTGAATTGCAACCACAACCTTGGTAGGGAATACAAGCACAACCTTCTCAATATCAAATATGAAGTTGAATTGCAAAGCCGTGAATACAAAATTTGCTTAAACTTCACAGGCCTGCTCCAATTTATGTTCATGATAACTATATGCCTTGCTTCCAATTCAGGGAATTTTCTCACACACAAGTCTCAACTGACCCGACACTTTTCTGGAGGATACTCAGGCCAAAAATGGACCTCAATTCATTTTTTGAACACCGGAGACTATTCTCACCTTATGATGCAATCCACAAGAATTTTCATACAGGATAGAGTATAGAATATAATGGCAGGTTGCAAGAAACTAACAACTTAGAACATTGAGCTTTATAAAGGTGACACTAGGGTTCCCAAATCACAATGAAGACAAATACACAGGTGTTAGTGCACTCTTATAATAATTCAACAGGATCTGGTAAACAAGGTGATGACCAATGATGTATCGAACATAAAAATCAAGAATAAGCATGCACATGAAATTCTCTAGCAATTGGATAATCAAGCACTAAAGATCCACACACGATCCTTCAAGGCTTACCTTTTCCAAAGTAGAGCACATAATTTGAAATATTATGAATGATTGATTCCTGGATCTGGAAATGAGTCATATTCTAGCCTAGAACATGTCTGGTATTATTGGGAATGAAAATAATCCCTCTTCACGAATTTGAACAAAACAAGAATGATGTCATTTCAAGATTGGAATCGAGAGAGTTCTGTTAAAGATCTCATTTTTTAGAAATTTTTTCTTGTTTATCAGGGAGGACATTATCTGGAAGAATAAGCTCTGGAGGGATCTCACGAACAACACCCAGCATTGAGTCATACTCCTCATCTTTTCGTGCAAACTTCTTCCGGAGGACCTTCTCAAACTCAATTTCATCAAAGGGCTTCATATTTTCAGCTGCATGGACCTGTGCAAGATTAGTGTAGTTGGTGGCTGACTGGGAGATAAAAGTTATCTCTTCATCAGTAAGCTTTCTGAGGAACTTTGCCGGATTACCTGCCCAAACCTGCAAACATATGCAAGTTTATGATATGGATGATGGATGAAAGCATTTGAAGAATAGCAATCTAACTAAAACTGCAAATTTCTAGTCAATGCAAAAATTAGAGGCTAAATTAAGGAATGCTTTTCATCTTATGATAGATATTAATGAGAAAAGATTACCATATTTGAAATAAGAGAAATGCTATTTGTTGCAAACCTTTTTCCTCACTACTTAGTTCGTGAAGGCAGCAATACCCAGGGAATAATAATAATAATAATAATAATAATAATAAAACATCCTATTTCATAAAGGACAAAACTTAAGTGCAGTACTATAAGTCCTGTTGGTGCTGTTCTCCAATTAAAGTTGGAGTCTCATCTCAGTAATATGAGCAGACCTTTAATGATGTCTTTTATTATGTAGGTTATAGAGGTAAAACTCAGACTTTGATTGAAAAACAACAACAACAATACTTACGGTGTTACAACTAAGTTTTGTGCTTTCACAAAACACAACATAGTTAGTTTATTATGGTTGTTTCATATACCAACATAAAAATAATAGCCTTGTCCTACTAAATGAGGTAAGTTAAATGAATTACTTCAACGCAATAAGTTTTGTAAGAAATCAAATTCTCAAAATTATTATTAACTATATCTTTTAATAATTTCTTTCAAACTCCTTCTTGACCTCCCTCTACACCTTTTTAGAAGGCTACAAATCATGCAATTTACCTTTTTAAACTAGTCTTTCTAATGATTTTCTTGGCAAATGTTCAAACCACTTTAACTGATTTTGTCATTTTCTTCTTGATAAATGTCACATTCATATCTCTTCATATATAATTATTACATATCCTGTTCCTTTTCATATATTCATACTTCCATTTTAACATTTTCATTCTTTATACTTTCATTTTTGGCTCATGTTATCCCTTGAAAACCGAACATTCACTAAAACAAAAGATAACAGTGTCATAAAATAGTTCAACAAAATTTTTCTTCAACCTCAGTAGATATTTTGCGGTCACAACTTGCCTTGATGTCTCTCTTTATATTATCCACTCAATTTATCTTCTGTATGTAACATCATTAATTTTTCCATAACTTTGTAAAATTGATCACAAATATTTAACTTAGAAATTTGTGGTATGACATCTAATTTTTCCTCTAAATAATTTTTATCTTTTCTATATATATTACAATTTTAACCAAAAGAAAAGATAAAAATTATTTAGAGGAACTTTATCTTACTTTTACTCAAACAAAATTCTTGTAATTACAATGTTTATTTTGAAAGTTGAACTGTATAGTTAAACTCTCTTTTTTATTAATCAATAAGAACTATATTGTCCACAAATAACATACATTTAAAGATAATATTTTGGATGTCCTAGGTAAACACGTTCAAGACTAAATTAAATAAGTAAAGACTCAAACTTGAATCATGATATAAATCTATCCTTATAAAAAAGTTCATAATTCATCTTTGGAGGTTCTCTCACTTATAGTTATCTTATGATACATTTCTTGTATAACTTAGATATAAGTTACACAAACACCTTTCTTTTTAAAAGCCTATATAATAACATTTCTCTTGACATTTGACCATACATTGAGCAGTATTTTACAAAAATGGGTTCATGATACAACATTTTCCTTGTAAAAAAATCCACATACAATATTAAAGGATAAATTTTTTGGATCCCAGAATAGCTTCAGTCTTGCAATCTGTCCATCCATGTCTTAAATTCTACATTTGAGGTCATTTTAAAGGTTTTTTTTTTTGTGTAATTAAATGATGTTATGATAATTTCCAGATAAATTTATGGAGATAGAAGCCTTGTAGAATGGAAAATTGGAAAAGTATATTTTATTGAGTATGAATCCTGGAATAAACACACAAGCAGGCTGATAATTCATGCAGTTCAAATGCATCAAATGCTTTTAATTCATGAAATAAAGCAATTACCAGGACATTAGTTAGAAGTAACAGTTATGACAAGTGGTCTAAGATGATGGATTAGGGATTAGTTTAGAAGGGTACGAGTTTACATCCAGGGGAATCCCATAATCAATATTAGGTTTCTTCTTGTTGGAGGTTGTGCATAGAGATAGCAAGACAGCAGGCTTGCAAGATATGATCAAAGTTGGAACTGCATACATTTTAGTTTTGAAAGTCTTATTTATAAAAGGAAGCAGCCATAATAAAATTTATAAATAAAAGAAGGCATAATAAAAGGCTGAAAGAAAGAAAGAATATTGCCGACCAGTATTGTATTGCATCACTATAATTTCACAATAGGCACGGTAAAAATATATTAATAAGCCATAACTACACAAAATCCCATAAATAAATAAAAATCAACACAAAATTATAATTCATCCCCTGGACCTAGATTAGTAGTATTGTACGTTTCTCAATAATGGTAGTTAATCCTAGATCCCAAACAGAGACACCATCACCAGAACATGATCCTAATTCTCAGTTATTCAATGAATAGCCTAACAGTATACACAACTATAGACACAGACATACCTCCCCTGATGGAATTCTTGCATTCTGTCTCACGAGGGCTCCAGCAGCAACCATGGCATGTCTCTCAACAACGACACCATCAAGTAGTGTTGCACCCATGCCAACAAAGGCCTCATCCTCAACAGTGCAGCCATGTAAAACAGCACTATGACCTGTCCAGTGCAAAATTTAATCCTCATGAAGGGCAAAATGAAGCACTGTTCATGATCATGGTAGAAAATATTACTCACCAACAGTAACATTATCCCCAATTGTAGTAGGCAACACCTTCCCACTTAAATTAGACTTTGCAACATGCACCAGAGAGTTATCCTGTATGTTAGTTCCACTTCCAACACTGATGCTGTTCACATCACCTAAGCATAAAGCGAAGTTCAAACACTATTACCATGCATATATCTACAAAACATAGAAACTCAACCAAAATCCACCTTCAATTTACATGAGAAAATAAGAGATCAACGCAGCTTTGTTATATTAGGGCTTATTTGTTTCCCAGTTAGAAAATTAATTCTTGTAATTTCTAATGCAAAACATACGTTCCAATATAAATATACAGTTGAGATTAATTAATGCAGGTATCTTAATTACATTAACCATTCGAAATGAATCTAAACTTTACCCAACTCTAAACCAAATGGCACTTAAAAAGCACTATTGTTTAAAAGGTATTCCAAAAATTGATCTCATTAGTTTCTAAACCATTGAATAAAGGGAAAGAAAGATCATATATACCTCTCAAGACACATCCATACCAAATGGATGATCCTCTACCAATTTGAACATCACCAATGACAGAAGCACTTGGGGCAACAAATGCATCCTTATCAACAGCAGGAGCTTTATCAAATATGTTCATCAAAGTTCGATGCCTAGACACTACACATAATAGAAATTACCAAATATTAATGATTATTTGACATATATATTTAAGATATACATAGAACTAATTATTTTCCAAAGTTTGTGATAGAAAAAATGTGAATGGAAAGAACTAACGCTGTTCTTGGAAGTAGTAGCTGCCCTGAAGGCGGGAACCGAGGCGATCAATGGCTTGACCCGTTTCTCGAATCCAAAATCCAACAGTGTATATGGCTCGGCCTAGGGTTCCCATTTTCCGATTTCACAAATTGGGTGCGTGATTTGATGGAATCGAAGATGCAATTGCAATTGTAAGACACACTGCGACTCAGCCAGAAACGTTGTATGCTATAGTGGAGTGGCATAGGTTAGTATATCCGATTATTCCAAAGGGCAATTTGGGGTTTACACTTTTTTCTGTCTCAATTTACTGGATCATAATTCATACAGGAAAGCCTGCGTTAGCTTTATTACATTTTTTTTTTCCATATGAGCTTATCCAATTCTTTGTTCTTATAACTAATTTATCTGGATTTTGTTTTTTATCCTTATAATTTTATTTTGTGTAAGTTTTAGTTTTATTAGTTTAATTTAGTCTACGTTTTGATCTTTATGATTTACTGAACATAAGTTTTGATTATTACTTTTTGAAGGGTACTTGTCCTGACATTTTGCTTATAATTAGGGATCAAAAATCAAAATTTTGAAATATAAAAATTAATGGTTTTTAATTTCAGTTTGTGTTGAATTTAAGTGTAAATTATAATTTTTTATTGAAAATCTATTTATTTATTTTTATACCTTCAATGTAATAAATAATTTTAAACATAAATATTGAGAAATTTTAAAGCACTAAGCTCATAAATTAATTAATCAGAATCTGTTTTACTTAATTAATAGTCTCAAATTTAACTTAATGAGAATATAGTTGTTCTAATTTATTTTCTAAAAACAACTTTGTCATTTACAATAATTTTATTTGACTCAAGTAAAAGTAATCAAACACTTAATACGATGTCTAAATACCATTGCTTTTATAAAATGTTCTGTATTTTTAAGGCCAAGTCCAAGTGTCTAAGTTTTTCTTAGGGGGTTGGGAGAATTATTAATAGTTAAAGTTGTTAAAAATTCGTTGATGCATAATTATACTTACGGACAGAAAGTAAAAAAGGAATATTATAAAAAAAGAAGAAGATAAGTTTAACAGTTTATTAATAATGCTAATGAAAGAAAAGAATATATTTAGGTTTTGTCTTTTCAGGGAGAGAAAATAATAAAAACAGGAATACTATAAAAAAGAAAAGAAAAACACATTTATAAACTATGATTTCAAATGAAGATGTCACAACTAAGTTACTTAAGTATGACTATACACGTGTAGAAACTATATTGTTAGCGTTAATCTTAATATTACTACCGGCGAGAAATATCTTGCGTGCATATAATCATTGCAATTTTGAGCACATCATCAACCTCTTAATTTAATAATTTTCTATTCCATTTAATTAGATTGTGTGCTTATGGCTGTTCCATTATTTGCTTAATTTTGTGTCCCTAACAATTATTGGTTTCTTATTTCAGCATTTTATGGCCCTGTCTCTTTATTTAAGGAACCTTTTCCAAAATTCAAAATTTTGGCTATAGGTCTTGAAAATTTGGATTGGACATTTCTAGATATGTTAAGTTTGCTAGCGTCATAAAATAATTTTATTTTCCTCAAATTAAAACAAAATTAGGAGTGGTATGAAAATGTGAAACTTTTAGCACAACACAGTAGCATAAGCAACAAGTTGGGAAGTAAACAGCGTCAATTCAATCAGTGACAGTGATCTGCAGCCAGCTAGATCATTGGGTTATTACAATAACTACCCAACACCAGTAAACAAAATCACAGCTTAGTTTAAGTGTGTTTGGACTTTTGTTAAGAAGGAGAGTTATATACATTTATCAAAAAACAACTAATTATTATCTTCTAATCCTATTTATATACTTGAAAATTTGGGCTAACAAAGGGTCAACACACTTTTAAGTTGTCAATCAAAACTTGACTCTCTTTTATAATAAAGAAATGCTAAAAACACCTTTTTATTGTATTTTGTGTTATTTTTTAAGAAATCGAAGCACTCGTTTTATAAATTAATTATCTTTTAAAAATTGTATTGAAGATTACGTTTATGTAAGTAGCATTCTTCGTGGTAATAAAAACAAATGCAGGAAATTAAGTAACGGGTTCAAATTTTCTAATAGCAATGATCTTTAAACATGGCCAGCTCATCTCTTGAAGCCAAGAACATCTTCCACGTCTCTATCTCCCAGCACGCAAGTCTTTGCATTATAAACTTTATACAAATGCTCATGAAATTGCTCTAAATTTTCTCCACAAATGAGTGAAAGAACTTTGATTCCAATATTCTTCTTCTGGGCTTTCCTCACGATCATCACACCGACACTAATTCTTTTGGCAGAAAATTCAAAAGCCCACTTTGAGTCTAATGGTAACAATCATTAAGGGACTGTTAATTTTCCTCAGGAATTATCTAATATATTTGTTTTTTTTTTTTTTTTTATCATCAGGACTTTGTAAATTTCTTTTTGTTGTTCTCTCTTCATATCCAACCTTGTAGGAAATTCAACCGATGTAATGAAGGCCAGAAGAATAATGGCGGGTTGCATTCAAAATGGTATTAGAAGATCGCCGCCGCCACCAGCCATGACGGTGGTAAATGCAGCAACGACGCCAATAACATCACCGGAAAGTAATAGAAGTGTTACTCATATGACTTCATTTCATAATCATTCTCTTAGAAGGAACAGAACAAATCATGGGTACACGTTGTTGTCTCCTACAGCGAACGAATATTAGATAGACAAGTAGTAATCGATGATCATGCTCATGGGATGCCCTCTCAAGAAACAATGAATTGATCAGAAAATAATATTCTCGTAATTGTAAATTTTCGTTTGTGTTGATGCCTCGAGTTTAAATTGATTACTATAGATTGTTTAGTATATTTCATCGTTGTGTTAACATGTAGAAAAGGAGAAACACACCTCGTTCCAAAGTAATTTCATGGCAAAAAGTATTCTACCATTTTAACTAAGCCAGCGTCGAAATTAATGGTATAACTAATTGATATATTTTGGAAAAGTTATCCCATAAACATTTTCACAAAGGAAGGGGATAAACTAAAGAGGATTGGAGAAAAAGTATCAATAACTATCCCCTTCAGAATGTTTTAAATTAGTAAAAGGAATAAAAATTCAACGCATTTATTTATTGGAACTTTTTTATCATTTTTAATTATAGAAAATATGCCATAACCTTTATACACATTTAAAAAAAAATTAGTTGGATAGCTAATTTAAAATCTGTTTTTATTAAAACATTACTGAATTATCTTTTATCCTCACAGGATAATTTATAAATTAAAAAATATAAATAATATTTTTATTTATAATTAAAGTTATTTTTTATTTATAATAAGAGGGTAAAACATTAAAAAATTGCATAAAGATAAGAATAAGGTAAAAAGGTTAATATTATATTAATTTTTAAATGTAAGTAAGGAGGGCCAAGACAGAGTCTTCACTTTTTTGGTCATTGAACAGACACAGCTCTTTTTGGTGTGAAGGGGTCAGACAGAGTTCGACGACCTACGATATACAATACCCATCGCATCTGCTGGAAGAGGATTGCTTTTTGCAATATTTTATATTTTACAAATTATATACATACATATATATATATATATATAACATTGACATTCTTTCGAAAATAAGTTTCTACATTTAAGATTTTATACTTTCAAAAATTAATTTTTAGAATTAAATTTTTGCACTCTTTTGAAATAAATTTCTTGAATTATTAACCGTTTGAAAAAGATTAATTCCTGAAATTAGAACTCTATACCTCTAAGCATATGTTTCTAGACACCTCAAAAAATTATATTCTAGAATTATTAATTATTTTTAAAAATAGGTTTATAAAAGGATGTATTGGTTAAAGATTTCATAGAATTTAAAAAAAAATTAAATAAAAAAATGTTGATATTTAATCAAGATTTTATGTTACTTAAAAATAATCAAGTGGTATTCAATTTGGATTTTTAAAATCTATTAAAATCTATTAGTATTCATTTAAAACTTTTTACAACTTAAAAATAATCGTTTGGTATTAAAAAATATAAACATTTTAAATGATTGTTATATTAGAGAGATTTTGAAGGACTTTTTAGTGGTATCTATAAATACTAAATTCATAAAACAATCAGATTTTGGAAGATTATTTGAAGTGACTTTTCAAGTACTTTAAGAATTTATAAGTGAGTTTTTCATCTCTTTTATTTCTATAATTTTGTTTTCTCCATTTTTTTCTCTGCTAATAATATTGCACTATTACCCATATATAATATTGTACTACTGTTCTCATTTTGTTCCCTTATTTAGTGAAAACGTAAATGACAGTGTCATTGACTTGTTTTATTTAGTTGAATTTGTTCCTCAGATATAAAACACAGAAAATACTTGAAGTTTTAACTTAAAATTTTAACTTTTAAGTAGTAATTTTTTTTATAACACGCGTAAAAAAAAGGTGAAAGTTGAAATTAATATCATAATTTTTACAATCAACTGTATATCTTCAAATAGTTAACTAACACCTTTAACATTTAAGTTTGAGATATTTGTCTATACCATATAGTATTTTTTTAATTGAATAAATGGATATTTAAATATGTAAAATATAGAAATAATATATATATATATATATATATATATATATATAGCAGTTAAGTCTTTTATGGGGCTATAGTATTGTTTTTAATTATATAAGTACTTATTAGGTAATATATAAATTTAACAAGTATCCTTATCCATAATTATTTATATAATTAGTTTCTAACATATGTTATTTTAGTAATTCAAATGGGAGATTCCCAAAAATTAATAAAGGAAAGGGAAAAGAGAAAGAAAACTATGAAACTTAGACCAAGGAAGATAGTGGATGCTATAAAAAGTAGACTGTGTGATGCTATAAATGTGGAGAGAGTCATTCTTTCTCGTCTCAATGCTAAAATTAAATTTTTTAAAATGTATAATAATTACTTGAGTCAAATGAAGTAGTTTAAAAAATAATATAACAATATATCAACACTTATGCACAACAACTCTACCTTTGAGTGGAACCCAATTACAAAGACATTCATCGCTAGTGATGAAGTATGGAAAGAGTACTTAAATTTGAGATTAATTCGTAATCTTTTAAATATATTAATAGTTTATAAGTTTAGTGCATTACATTATTTTCAATATATTAATAATGAATTTTTTTTCTAGTCT